AGAGAGAGAGGGGGGGGGGGGGCAGGGGAGAGACAAGACTAGTCGAATAAGGTTACAAGATGTTTTATAATTACGTATCCAAGAATCCCGAGTTTCGCGAGAGAGGTAAACAGCGAGAAAATGCATAAGACGTTGTCACGATAAAACACTAGGAGGAAAGGTAAAAGAAAAAAGATAAAATTTATCAACGCATATAACTTCCCTCTGAATAATGGATTGCTCTCGTCGTCTACTCGGAGAAGGTTAGTGCCTCACTTCCCTATACGTGTCCGCTAATGCAGCATAGCAGCTGAGTGGAAAAATTAAAATGTAACTGTGGTAATCTTGCTAAATTTCCCTTTTCGTTTAGGGATACGAGACCAAGCGACATTCAGGCCAATGGGATGCACTTTGTTATGTAGTCGACAAAAAATTCAGCATACCCCGCGACAGTCCTGCACGGAATATATTTTTGTCAATGTCAACAAGGATTGCGCAATATTTATGCAACTCGAAAAAATACAACAGTTTATCGTAGACGCAATACACTTTTTGGAAGAGAAGAATTTGAAAAAATTTTTTCTTTCCACTGACTTTGATTTACGCGCCCTTTTATTTTGCATATTCACTCCGAATTATTATTTTCCCATATAATGGCACCAGTAATCGGTGGCACGGATCCGTCCAACTATAAATCGGATACCGTCGGATAAAAAAAAAATTGAAATTTCACCTTTGATAAATTTTGTTCTTCTCTTTCTCTTTCAAAACCATCCATCCTAAACGTTCACGTCAACCACGCAGTTGTTCCGTAAAAACAATGCGGAAGTCCTCCTTTTTCGAAAGGCCCCGCGACATCAATCAAGTCATTGAGTCGTTCGTCAAACGCGTCTAATTAATAGCGGCAATCCAGGTGCAATTAGAGGAGAAATGCCACGTTCAATTATTTATGAGGCACGTAGACCGAAGTCTGATCTCGTCCCGTATTATTAGAGGTTTTGCAAAGAAAAACAAATTAAACGAATAAACCAGACCACAGGTAAGGATCCCAAAGAACTACAGAATAATGGAGCCACAGAATAAAATTTAATAACGTCAAAAATTACCTCCGATTAATTCACAGTTATATATATATGGCAGAGATGGGGAATCTTAGAGAAATTTACTAAAAAAAAAATTGTCAGCACATATTTGCAGTCAACATAAGCTCAGAAGAGCCTAAACGAAATAATTAAACATTCCAAAAACCTTGTATATTTTAAGAGTCTAAGTAACATTTTCTAGTACCTATAGTCCTAATATTTGACATTGTATGTACACTGCAAGGACTCGTATAGGCTCGTTACGCAACATATAGAACTCTGTTTCCATTAATCTCAGGACTATATCGTAAGTACAGAGAGACTTGCAAATGTTTCACGTGTAATATTAAACGCAACTCCCGCAAAACTTTCGTAGCAGATCAACAGATGCTGTTTCCCCGTGTAAGGCTACCCGCGTAATTCGTCTGGCTTCGAGAATATTCCAGGCGCTACGGACGACGGAAGGCGAACCGGGAGGGGATGGCGTTTTTCAATTTCTCAAGCATCCCAAGGAACGAGGCTCTGACTTTGTTAAATGTTAAGCGAGTCCATATTATACAAGAGGCATTTTTAATTCGCTTTCAAAGTAGAGCCTGGCCTGTTTACTTTAGGGCAAAAGCGGCGGTTTAACTTCTAATCGAGTTACCGGAGTCTGTCGAGGTAGATGCCTACCTAGTTAGGTAGATACATTGTTAAGTGGACTTGGTAAGGTAGATGTATGTAGGTAGGTGCCGGCTAACTCCATTGCAATATGATAATGGCGTCACGGTGCCAGGAACAGCAATAAAGGTACTCGCGAAATAAGACCGATAAAACATTCTGCCATTGTCCAAGCGTCGCTAGGTACTTCCTGTGGATCCTGTTCAAATTACTTAAACTTATTTCTTGCCGCCGTTAATCCAATATATTTACCAAATGCTCGCAGGCGAAAGGTTACCGCTTCGTTGCGACAGACAATGGGAGCATTCAGAAGTAAATGGAGCGTCTCGGTCTCTGCGAATCGATTAAATAAATCGTATCTCTCTCGTATACTCGGGAAAGAGCCTCGTCTCACTGATATACATAAGTGTCTGGATAAAATATCTGTTTTCTTTCTTCTTGGCGCTAAATAAAAAGAAAACCTAGAAAGGTCGCAGGATATAAATCATAACAATGGTATACAGCACTGACTTGGTCATACGCAAAATCAATAGTCGTTGATATAGTTTTCGTGGGAAATATACATATAATCATATCCTGTGTTATCAACCAGTTAGCTACTGACGGGACTTGCTGTTTCTATATTACGAATCATTTTATACGAAAGCAATCGGTTCTCGATTAACGTATCGATGTGCATTGGACTTTGAAACAGTGCGAATAAATTGTTTGAGAATTTAAAAAAGCTGTCTGATAGTTACGTAAATGTTTTTCTATACCTCTAGTGTCAATTCCATTGCACAATAATTGCAGGTCGTAAGGTACGCGTATGTATCTCAATTTCATCCTGTCTCTACTGAAATTCCCGAGCGACCTAAACTATGTTGTAACTGATGACGTAACGACCTCGTAACTTATACAGTTTAATATACATTGGCGTCAGGCAGACTTAATGAATTTGTACTGAAGGTATAAGGATGCACGTAGGTATAAGCTGCTAAGAATTTCTTCACTTAAAAAAAAAGAAAAAAAAAGAACGTCCGTTGTAACTCGCGCACTTCGTAGCTCATTGTTCGTAATAGGTTATGTTGGAACAAGATTTACTGCAGCCTCGTTTTCATTAGCAGCTACGTAGCACGGTACTTTAAGTTTGTCCAGCTCTTTTAGTAATTCGATTTGTCGACGCTGCGACAATTTCTGAACGCCTTTTGAATGTGCATTTGAAATAAAGCTGGAGACATTTTACTTACAGGACTGGCAGTATTTCCATGTTAAAATTCTCAGCATCTTCGTCGTCGTGGATGAAACTAAAGTTGTCTTCGATTCACAGTCGTACTTTTTCGAACTATCGATTGAATTGAAAAACTTGAAAAACTTTTCTTAACCGAACTCACTCTTGCACGATGTTAATGGTTTGGGTGGTTTAAATCTTTTTAGTTATCGTGCTGTATTTTAAGTTACTGAAAGTTTATGTTTTTAAATCACGAGTGCCTTTAGGCAATAAATAATGAACGAACACTTGATTTCCGGTATATAAAGAAACATCACTTCGACTAGTTTATTTTGATAGACATTAGCTTCTTTCGTGTATAACTGTTTTACGCGACGTTTTTGGTCGAGATTAAGTTATTTAATTGGATTTTTTAACTGGGGTAGTCACTTTCGGATTAATGTGCAATTGGCTACTGGTTTTGCGATTTCTGTTTTGACGGTAGCAATGGCAGTCCTCGAATCCGATGGCAAACACAGAGCAAATACGTCCGACAGACGCGCGCGACGCGACGACACTGGGGTTGGAATCCACCCTTGCCCGGTGCTGATTCCCACCCTAGGATCGAGGCCGTTCGTAGGGGGCAGTATTATAGAGGAGGGTGAACTTCAATGAATGAATGAACCTTACAGATCTCTGTGTGCACGAGTCGCATATTTATCAGCCATTTCTATCCGTATAAATTATTCGACGAGACGTAGCTGTCGAAACTGAAACAGAAAATAAACATTACTCTTTTTCGAGTTCAAAGAAGAAAAAACTGTATAGGTACATATAAATACTTACATCGCGTTAGGGATTATCTCAAAAAGTAAAAAAATATATAACAACTGTACGTTAATTCTCATTAATTTTTATGTAGGAAAATTAACTAATCCAAAGCTAACGACTTTACAAAATCCATAAGCTCAGAGAGAATGATGAAATGTTGAACAATGTGAACCGCGTTAGATTTTCGCCACTTATAACAAGTTATACGTGTAATGAATGAGTACAGCATTTAATTAATGAGCGATGCTCAAACGAGAATGAAAATTGTTCATCCTTTGTGGAAGCTTCTTCTCTTACCGTAGACATAGTAATTTCCCGTGGTACTTTCCAACGCTTCTCTCTGGCAAGGATGCCTGAGCATTTTTCTCCAAGTTTCACTAAAGCACAATTCCGGGTAAGGCAAGAAGTTCATCACTGTCCGAAAAATCTGTGTATAGTTCGACAAGAGCGATCCTTTTTTGCTCTACTCTCGGTCAACTTAACCTCCCATGGTGTAACTGCTGAAAGTTCTTGTCCATCAACTTTTCGAGCACCGATGCTTCGCCTAATGTTCGTAACTTTGGACATCAGTGAAGAAAAAGCGTTGCCACGATGTTGACCAATGAGGACGAAGATTCATACAAAATTTGTAGCGTCATGTCGACACTTCCCGAAGCTTAAGAAAAATGTTATGTTATGTTTAATATTTGAAAAGGACAGCTAATTTGGTGAACACTATAGCCTACCAAAATTATATGGTAGGCGTGTTTACCGACATTGAATATTATCTGCGCATGGTAATATGACGGCGTATTTTATCCATAGAGTAAAAAAAAGGTTTACAAGTCAGCAGAATCATGTCCCTTTGAGTAATTTCGGTTATCACTGTGAAGACGCTGTAAACGTCGTTCGGTAAGTTTCACGATTGAGTAAGTACCATCTAGGTATTTTATGCTTACTTGAAGAGTTATCATATGGTTATCATGATTATCACGAGGTGGCACGTCTCTTCATTGGAGGCAGCCATGAGGAAAGGAAGTAAGAGTCATCACGAGGGCGGTCGTAGCGCAGTGATTAAGGGAGCGGATTCACGGCCAAAAGGTACGGAGTTCGCGCCCGGCTCCCAGCGGAATTCACCAATGGGTTTTCATATGAAAACTTAAGTGAGTATTTATACGGATTTCGTCCAACACTGTTCGGATTCGGTGTATAAACTCCGTAGGTCCTCACAGAGAAGACCCATGTGCATAGAGAGGGAAGAGAAGAAAGAGACACTTTGTCCTCCTGCCCCAAAATAATTTCTGCATTTCCTTATATGTATTCAAACATTAATTCCTGTCAATCGGTGATAGACATAAGATCTGGATTTAAGATTGTATTTCGCGAAGGCGCTCGCTCGAATTTAAGCAGATCACATCACACAATTTACAAGCTTATTATAGGATTGTACTACGTGGAAATTATTCCAGGTGACACTGCAGTGCTCTGCAATGTATATGACTTCCCAGAGTTAGTTGTTCCATAAGCCATGGCTCTTGAATTTTGCCATACAAAAATCAACAATTTGCTGGTTAATGGCATGTTCAAAGAGTTTCAATCGTGATGTTGTGGATGAAAATGTTTGCGTAAATTAGAATTTTCGGCACACGTATCTCTGTTTTTTTGCGCTTTCGAAACTGCTAGTATTCCTATCTATGTAAGGTAGTTTTGTTAATAGTGTTGTTGCATTGAGAATTGTGTATGTTTCTTTTTGCTCCTGTGTTAATTTTATTCTTTTTGGATATGTTTTCAGACGCAAATAGACTTTTACAGTTTTATATAATAATTAAAATAGAATTGACTTGTCCATTCTTTCAAAATGTAATGTTGGAGTAATTTTTTAATCTTAATACCTTTTTTCTAGACATTTTTTCTCATCCCTCATAGCATGCCAAACACTAAGGTGGCCCAAAGTACTTTTCCCTAAGGATTAACCCTGATCAACTCACACAGAACTGTACGGAACAAACGGTTATTTTTCCTATTTGAAAATATGGCGGTGAGCGTTGTTGCTTTCTTTCCATTCGCGGGCAATATTGGAAATGCTCCAATTTCTATTCACTAGGCTGCAGCGGAAACCGACGAATCAGAGTCTTCGAGACGAGTTACGGTGAGAACCAGTCCGCAGGCTCGTAACAGAGTACCATGTCCCTTTAACATAGGTGTGTTCAACCTAGTTCAACCCCTAATTGTGAATGTTAACGGATAAGACCGAAAAGAAAGAATAAATCTCGTTTACTTGATAATCTAAAAAGGGTGAATAACAAACTATTATTTATTTTGGGAATGAAATTATGAAGTATGTAAATCGAACGTACAATCAGTAATACAGATGAATTCAAGAACGAACGATACTTCTGAGGATTACAAAACAAATTTCATCAAATGATTACCCTGTGTACTCTTGCCTAAAATTAAGAAAAACGTAAACAAGTGCTCATTGTTCTGAAACATTTCATTTTGTATCTATAGAGATGCTGACAAACCACAAAACTGGGATGTAAAGTGGCTTTTATGGGTAAACATCATAACTTTTTATAAAAAAAAAGAACTCCAATGCTACAAGATCATTGTCTCAATATGGATCAACATCTCATAGAACAGTTTGTACAAGTGACAGGTTGGTTGATTCTATGCAAGCTGCGAATATGCATTTCCTAATTAAAAACTTTTGCTGGCATTTTAGGACAGAGTGAAGCAACAGCCGCCCAATACCTAGCAGTAGCCGAAGGAAACGTGGAAAATGCAATAACTTTGATGTTTGAAGGAGGTATAGCAGTTGCCGATGAAGAAGAACAAGTGCGTGCACCCATACCTCCCACTCGTCAAGTTCTTGTCCCATCAGGACACATATGTCCTTCTGCCCATTCAGCATCCAACAATGTCTTTGATAGATTTCGTGATTTTGCTGTCGAAACACGTGAGTATTACAATTTTATTATTCCTGTTGTTTTTAAAAAAAATTATTTCATAAAAACGATCTTGTGTTTGAAGAAAGACAAGAAGAAGAATTGACACGTAGGGTCGCTGGAATGAAAAAGATGTCTCCGAGAAAATCAAAACGACTGGAAGACTTGTTTAGACCACCGTGTGACATATTGTTTCTGGGTACCTTTTCTGAAGCCCGCGAGAGAGCAAAGATTATCAATCGTTGGCTACTCGTCAATGTACAAAACCCCCAAGAATTTGCATGTCAGATACTCAACAGAGACTTATGGCCTAATGAACAAATCAGAGGCATTGTCAACGATCATTTTGTTTTGTGGCAGGTAAATATGCATCTGCATGCTGATATAATATAGCGCACACAATTACACATCAGTAAATATATATTGACAAAATACTGTTGCAATTATAACATCATGTACACAGATACAGTCGAACACTGTAGATGGAAAACGATATATCGATTTCTACAATGTATCAAAGTATCCCTACTTGGCCATAATTGATCCAAGAACAGGAGAATGTATGAGAGCGTATAACAATATTAGCGTGGATACTCTCGCGGCTGAATTGAATGATATGCTGAGTATCCATCCGTCACCCTCGTCATCAGACACCACAGCTAATCCTCAGGACCTGCTTAAGACTGCTGCATCACCATCGTCCAATGATTTCCGTAATGGTCGCATCAAATCATCGTCGAAACGCCGTTCTCTGATGAATCTGATCGAACCAATCAACAATGTGAGTCGTTCATCGATACTTTTGGATCTTATAGCGAGCTTTTCTGATTTGATCGACCTTTCCTTTTACACTTAGCCTGATAGATGTGAAGAACCTGATAACACTAACGAGAAAACCGATCGTCGTTCGGCGGCGACTAACAGCATCGATAGCGTGGCATCTAGCAGTAACTATAATACTCTGAGCGATAGCCAATTCGACATGCCTAGGAAACGATCGAAGATGGAGAGTTCCGAAAGAATAAACGAAAAAGCAGACCTCGCTACGACCGTGCCAAACGAGCAAAAGGTAAGAGATTTTCATGAAAATACATTCCGAACGATTAAATATGTACAATTGAATGTTCGAAACTAACAATTTTTCAGAGTATCGTCCGAAATCATGAAATTGAAGCTACGTCGAGCGGAAAACTACAATTACGTAATTACCTATTCTCCTTTTATACATTCCAAGTCATTCGTTTGCATTTCTGTATCTTTAACGTTATGACATTGTTCCTTAGAGGAAACAAACTGCGATAAACCGTCGCTGCGGCTATGTTTACGTCTACCAAACGGTGGGAAAGAAGCCATTTCTATGTATGGCAATGATACTATTGCGGTAAGTTGTAAAAAGTATTTTCTATGACTTTTAATAATACTATTTTAATGAGCTCATTTCTCTTGCTCTGCGTAGATCTTCATGAAAAGAATGGAAGATATTGGCTATCCGGCAACGGAGTACATTTACTTAATACCATTTCCGAAAACGAATGTAAATACTCTCCCACTAGATATGCAACTTTCCGATACGGTCCTTTATCCTTCCAATACGATATTCATCACAAAGATATAATTCGTTCGTGCTAATAAATTACGAGACCTATATTCGCAGTAATGTGGTAAATAAAAAATACAAATCTTTGACCGTGTTGAAAAACATCTGCTTCTAATGAAGATTTGTACGGCATTATTACGTTCGTACACTTATAAAATGGCAAATAAAACAGATTCTTTTCTATTCACTTAGTTTCAGTCATATAATCCAAATGTCTTTACATTACTTCATTATTGTGTATCATAGGATATGTGTGTGATGGCCGTGCTTCTGATAGTTATATGGATGAACCAGTATTCCATTTCATAAATATGACATCCAACGTGCCCCGTTATATGTTGACCTGTTATTTAAAGAAACATGATAATCCTACTGAAGAAAGTCGAAAATTACCAGACGCTTAAACAGTATGAATATTACTGTCAACGTCCCTTTATCCTCGTCTAAATTCTAACCGGATGAAGGTCATCCGATGAATCATACCTTTAAAAAAATGTGTATTGAAAAAGTAACATTATTAACCCTAATCCCATAAACGTTATTTGGACAAGTTAAAAGCTTAAACGTGTGGGTCGTTCACGTCCATCACAATTTTCAGATATTGAATAATGATACAAAAATTCATAAGATACTTTTGAACCTTCTACTACAAGTATTCAAAGATACCTTTCCATAATTATTTTAATACTTTTTTTATAACAAATATATGACCTAAAATGCTCATTATGCACAACTTTAGTTGAAAAATTGTAATTGTAGTTGACGTTATCACGGTATACCGTGAGGTGATGTCACTTTCACTGTACCAAAAGCCTATACCGGAACGCAGGGGTAGTCCTTGAATCTTCCTGCCATACTTGGGTTTAAAGCGATAGTTACCAACAGTTAGAATGAAACTTAAGACGCGTGAGCTCAAAAAATGTCTAAAAAATATATTTTTAGCAAAAACAAAAATTTCACTTACACAAAACTCTTCCGAAAACCGTAATGATGGGTCCTTCACGTTCACTCGAAATGTTTTCACCTCAACTTCTCCAAACCAACTGAGTTGGTTGAGTTGATAATTTTTTTTTACGGATACGAAAGACCCACATATTGTTCTCTTGTTTCGCCCAGGGAGGGAAAAACCCGTTGTAAATACCATGGATACAAATGATCCAGGTTTACGGGATTAGAGTTCACGGTGAAGAAAATGACAGATTACGTACGATAAAGGTATAAATTATTTAGACTTAAATGAGCATATGGTAAAACATGTTTATTGATAATATAATAAAATTATTCTGTTATACCTGCCGCTGAAGATATAAGTTCAGACTAGTCGATACAATAAGTAAATCCCTAAATTATGTATAAAACAATCATTGAAATATTGCGACTATATTCGTCAAGAAATGTGAGATGAACTACAAATTAGCTTCTCAAAATTCGTACGCAGAAATCATAAAAGAATAATAGTCTTTACTTTTCAAAATCTGGCGAGCTGAGCTTGTATCGATTCCGCGTGGTACAAAGTATTATTTGCAAAAAGTGTAACATCATTCAGCTAGAAAAATAGCCTAACAGACAATATTACACCTACCATTTTCAAGACAATTAATTCTTGTCGCGATTATCGACATAAAGTCAAATTTTCAAACTCCATTTCTTACTTCTTACACACTGATCACATGTTGCAGGAAAGAAGCACCTTCCTCCTTAGTAGGTATTATACTTTTCCATGATAGAACTCTGCGCACGTACAGTCAAACCAGTCACATCATCTATTTGGATTACATGTATAAAAAAAAGAAAGACAAAAATTACATTAGATGTACCAATATGTCAGTTGGTGTGCCGCCTCCTCCAAGTCATCAACCCTTTCGAATTATAATAATCACCGTATGCTATGCACATTGTAAGAAAACTTACATTTTACAATAAAATGCCGCAGATCTTTTCTACCTTCCGCTATATCTCCTACATAGTACCAGAACAGAGTGACAATAACGGGTGCCAGATCATTGCATCAAATCGTCACTTTACCGTAATGTTATCTGATCAAAAAATTGTGTGCGCGCGTGCGCGTGTGAAAAAACACACGAAGAAATGGCGTTCGATTATTTAATTTTCCGGCCAGAGAACGATTATGTGAATTGACGATTCCATGCAATAATATAATTGGCACCGAAAATAACAAATTCACACAGATAGATGACACATTCTTTAATTACATAAGATCTTTCGACGAAGGACCTGGGGATAGGTATTAGCCAAACAGAAACAAGTAATAGCCGTCTTGATACTGCACCTCAATAGTTTTATCTTTCGATGTTTTACTGTTTCCAAAAGACAATATTTCATAGCAACAAAATCTGCTTTTGTAATGACTCTATATGAATAATTTACAAACATATTTCATCTAAAAAATGTACCTTTAAATTCGCGTAGACACAACTAATATGTAATAGGATATTTAAGATAAGTTAAATACAATAATGACGGATATATAATGCCTTGCCTTCATTCTATCGATCATCCTGTTACTTATTGGATGCACTGCTGTTACCTTTCACTAATTATTTACAAAGCGCGCCTAATGTACGATATAAGATTTTATTAAACAAGTTAATCGCGTTAGGATCTTTGTGAATGGATAACAGCAACCCTTTAAATTCAAATAACGCAAATGAAAGTAGAATATATTTGTTAAATGTATAGCTCAAGAAACCAACTACTTTATAACTTTGGCTGTATTAAGATTGATACAAGCGTAACGATTTTTAATAAATTTAAACTTTAACATGGAGCATCGTCTCAATATATACTTAAAGTACAAGGGGGAAAAAGCAAACGTCCACTCTTACGTATACAGAAGTTTAAGCAAACAGTTCTTGGTCCATACCAAGATATTCCAAAACTAGTCCCATCGGCGTACGTTTTAGCCCAATACCCTCAATCTTGTTGACAAGTTTATTTTTGATATTGCGCAGCCTCATCGATGCATGTAAAAATGTTACTGAAAAATATACAATTGTCATAAGTACACTGCAATAATAAGAGTATAAAAAACTTAATGAGAGTCTGACCTGAGAAGGGCAATAAAATTCCAGTCAGAAAAACTAGAAGAGAACCTACTGTATAGGTGACAAAACATGCACCAATAAGAATGAAAATGACACCAGCAACTGGATATCGCTTCTTAAAATTGTGTATTGTTCTTCCTTCGGTAGACACATAAGCAAACACTCCCAGAATGATAACTGTCGCTAGAATACCAACAAGCATCTTTCCTGGATGAATTAATCTGCAAGTGCATGAAAAAAATTTGTTGTTAGCAGGTCTTTACGACTATTACACAGACATTGTAACCAAACTCATGCACCTTTAGAAAAACATATTCTGATGCTCACCCAACTACAAGAAAAATACAAGCAGACATGAAGAAATAATTGGTTTGATAATAAAGCAAATTGTTGACCACTCTGTTTCCCCATTTGTCTAGATCTTTCACATTAGGTATTTGAAAACGTGCTGATTCCAGCAGAAAATCATCTAGGCTGCGTAGCGGAGGTATCTCCAATTCCGAATTACCGATCTTCACTTTATCCATTTTGAACTCGATCGACTTGTGCAAGTAGATTAATAGACTCACGGTAAACTCTCCTTCATACAATATTATTAACGTAAAATGACACTCAAAATTTTCCCAGTACAGTGTGTGAATGTCTTTCACTCCACGTAAAACGTCATAGAACCTATAATGAATGACAGAGGCAATGTCACGAATGATTAAACCGTTTCGAGCGACGCTCTATTGCGAACGAATCTTCTGCTTTATTCTAATTGCCGTTTTCTCAGCCTCTTACAGATGACCTGTGACCAGCTGTGACAGTGACGAACTCAGTTTGACTGAGCGTCGTCGTTATTGCCTCTCAGTTGCTCGGTATGGCAGAGCTCCTTCCCAGGTAGTACATACATATGTCCAATCGGTACCTATAAGTCACCGTTTTTAGGTTGTCTTTTGGATTTTACTGAAAGGTATTCAATGTACGTCTTTAAATCGACATCCATTTTACAGTTATCTTAAAGATGACTTTATTGAGGTTTCTAAAACAAATATTAAAATAGTTGTCCAAAGGTTATCATTTTATTTTTACCGATTGATGGCTTATTCAGGGATTGAAAAGTTCTCAGTTTACTGCTATCTAATATATCCGTACACAAGTCATCCAAAAGATATCCTTTAGTAGGGGTTTAATGTTGACTGTAATAATAAAGTAAACGTTGTCCAAAAGACATCTTTCTGCGGGACTGTTTCGCTTTCTCATCGTGGTTAAATAATATGTCATTAGTTAGATGCCGTATTATTGTTGAAAATAATAATTATTATTACAAATTTAATATCACACAAATTTCCACCGGGTTGAAATAGATTTAATCAATCAAGTTAGCTTATTCCGCTCAAATCTTGTTTTAATTAGTTAACTCTATTTCAATCCTACACGGTAGAAACATAGGTTTAGTTTCCACCGTGCAGGGTTTGAATAGAGTTAAGCAGCCTCATTGGTTAATTCTATTCAACTCCTATACCTGATTGGTTAACTCTATTTAAACTCTCTACGGTGGAAACTAAGCCATATGTATAAGCGTTAAGGGCATAAGGGCGGGTTTTAAACTTCAGCCAATTGCATCGATTGATTTCGGCTGCTGACAAAAGTCAATCGATGTTATCGGCTGATATTTAATAACCGCAACTGTGGTTCAATTACGGAATATACCCTAAATTATGTTAAAACAATGTCATTTTTATGATATCTTTCTGGCGTTGGCAATATGTTATCCATAAGTAATCCCCTATATGCATGGCGGGAAATTGCGGCTGATCAATTAGTGCCGATTCGTTAACACGGAAGTGGATGTATTCTGCCCCAGCTTCGATTATAGTTTGACTGGTTTGCTGTGTTAGCTTACTCTTACGTTATTTACGTACCGCAAATATACTTTCATAATATTTAACATTGAAAAACGGAACGCTTCATTTGTGCATCATAACTATGTGGTCCAATTTTGAGACAAGTCAAAGCATGGGCGGTGGATTTCTTGACAACAGTCAAGCAGGACCAAGTGGGAAGACAGAGCCAAAAAGAGGACAAAAACTTTTTCCTGTAATGATAGTTCATCTTAATAATTTAAAAGATGATTTGGAAACGAGAAGTCATTCTCTTCCTATATTTACATTTATTGGAATAGTACGTAAAATTCAGCGTGTTACAACTAAGATAACTTATCATATTGAAGACGAAACAGGTACAATTAAAATGCGTCTTATACCGTTTTCTCAGTAAACACAATATTAATTTTAACGGACGCATTAGTTGCAATGTGCCCCTTATTTACAATTTCTTGTAAAAGTCTGTGTACATTACATGAAATGTAATATTTGTTAGTAATATTAGTTTGGGTAAGAACTTTCACTTTCGACGTGACAACATTCCTAAAGATACAGCTTACTTAGTACTAATAATTTTATTTAGATATTAATTATTATCACTCCCTTGATCTTAGTCTAATAGAAAATTTTTGAACAGAATTCAAAAATAAATTAACAAAACATGGTATCAGCAACAAAACCCAGATATAAGAATTATTACACCAGGAATAGAGAAATATTAGTCCAGGCAACGCAAATATTAGTAGACTCCATACCTCGAAGACTTAAAGCAGTAATTGACGCTAAAGGATGGCCAACTAAATATTTATAATGTATCTAAGCACTTCAAGTATCAGCTATACAAGACTTTTGCGAAGGAATTTTTGGAGCATTGTTTCTATTTTCTTTAAAAGATATATGTGCTGTGCTGTATATATTTTTTAGTGGCTAGAATAACGTCTATTTGCGTTCAAAAAGCATTTTTTATTTTGCATTCTTTAGGAATATATAAAAAGTAGCATTACATTTAATGTGTGCGTTACATGTAATATTGTGTTTGCTGGGTTCTTATTTGATCTTACATTTATTTAAATTATTTTTATCAAAATAGGTAGCATAGTGGCTCATTTGTGGTTAGAAGCAGATGATGAAAAAGCTGCACCAAATATTACAGAAAATAGATATGCACGTGTCTACGGAGTTCTTCGTAAACAGGGGGATCAGCCACACATTATGATTTTACGAATCTGGTCGCTTCAAAGCATGAATGAACTCACGAGTCACCTTTTGGAAGTTACATATATTATGCTAAAGGCTAAAAAAATGTCTGGAGAACAGCAAAGCGATTCCACAGTACCACAAAATCAAAATGTATTGGAAACAGAGGCCAAATTTATAAGTGGTATGACACCAGAGCAACATACTATTTTTCAAATTATTCATGCTGAAAATAATTCTGAAAGTGGTATTTCGAGAGAAACAATTAAACAAAGAGCACCCATAAATATTAAGGCACAAGTTGATAATATTCTTGAATTCCTCGCCTGTGAAGGTCACATTTATACAACTTGTACAGAAGACCAATTTAAAACAACCTGAGTTTACTTATTATATAGGATTATGGATGTTTGGAAGAATGTTTGTAATACTTACTAATATTTTTAATCCTTCATACTGTCAAAAATATGTATTTTTGTTATTATTAAATAATTTCTGACAAAGGTATTACTGTTGTTTCAGCTATGATCTTTAATTATTATAATCAACTGCAATATTTTAATAAAAATGTGTTTCACATGAAATTTAACTGTGATAATGTTGATAGTCTCAAGAAGGTAGGTTGTCTCAAGTTAGATAAATTTCTTTTTCACTTAATTTGTCCAAAGATTCTGTCGTAGAATTAAATCCCCACAAAAACACTTTTAGATTAAAAAAAAAACGCGCCTAGTTAAGGACTGCTGTGAATTCTCCTAACAAAAAATATTGAAATGCTTATAAGATGCATTTTAGACATCTTTTGGAATTCATCAAATTCACGTCTTTTAAATGATATCTTTTAGCAACTCGATAATATTTTCTCGCCATACGGACAGCCGATAAGCGATGACCATTGGCTGGCATTTTAGTAACCATTATGAGATCCCTTAGTTGTCATTCGGACAGCAATAAGTAACCAACCAAAACGACATTAGTGATACAATTAGTAATATAAAAAGGTAACTTTTTAGCCATCAAAATAATTATTCGGAACTTTTTCTGGACGTCCTTTGGATATCGTTCAGATATCACATTGCTACTTGGGTTGTTTCCTAATTTTAATAGCGCGACATTCAAGGAACAAATTGTGGTAACCCTTTATACCTACTTGAAATATATAGCCAGAGTTATTGCCTTTACTTATGTGTAAAATGTAAGATTTCAATTGCCCACCTAACATCGATACCCAAGTACTTTGTCTACCTTCTCCTTCTATAGAGGATCCTTTTCTTTGTAAGCAGCAATAAATAAACACTTCTGGAGGTCCTCGCAGTAAGACTCCACGGTCATACTGACCCGTAATCAACTTTAATAAAGAGAGAGAGAGAGAGTCGAACACCGTTGGCATGCTTATGAAAGCTTTGATGAGAAATCTATGGAAGCCGTCTGATTTTTTACTGTGTACGCCTGAACTTTTTCAGGCTGGCACACTATGTCTGAGTATATTATTCATACAATTAAGGAACAATCTAAGAGATTAGAAAAAAATTCAAAACAATTATTGCATGTAATTCGGATGATATACTGAGTTTTAAGAAAATTACAAATCGACATACATTTGATGAACCCAACATCTTTGGTAGACACAATCTTCCGAGATTCCAATTTTTAGCAACCTCGAATTTGATCGTAGTCTGGGCACACGAATCTTTCGCTTTCGATGCCATGCACTTACCAATTGCCACGCATGTCTACCATCATCCGCGTTATAATAACGCTGCCCGATTATGTACTTATGTAGCTCATTTATATATTAATAACGCGAGATAATTTCTGAACCCTATTGAGTAGCAAGTCTCCCTGCTTCACCATCGCCTGATACTGCCAATTCTTGCTGTCTGGCCGATTGGTCTCGACTACACCACCCACACGATCGACCTTACAATGCAACCGACCTGCTGCGATGAATCGAGAAAGTTCCCTAAAATTCATGGAATATCTTAGAATCGTAAGACAAATGGCAATTTTTCACCTGAAACTAGGTCAATTACAAATACCATACTTACTGATCTACATAATCTACTGTCACGCCAAAAGCCTCTGCCATATATTGGAGTGTTAAGGACCGATAAGATTCAAGAAGCTGAGTATAAGCCAAAATTCGCATCTCCCTGACATAGTAGCGATAATGTGGATGTACCAAGTAATCTCTGCGCAATAAGCCCTCCACGTGTGCTACAAATTAAGACAAGAGTTTCAATAGCTAATTACCACACTGTATGTAAATAACTCACATTTCACATAGTCAAATACTTACCAAGATTCTTAAAAAACTCTGCATAGTGGCAATTGTACAATGAGAACAAATAATCCTTCACATCTGGATTGGTGTGAAGAACTTCCAAAATTTCTGAACCTTTAATAATTTTATCGCGCAGCTCGTTTCGTGGTAAACTGATCGTACTCAAATATACTGTATATCTTACAAAAGTATTGTAATCCATAAGTTCGTAACTTGTAAAGGTACTGATAGTATCCAGGAAAAAATTGGCTGCCTCTTTGAAGTCGCGAACCGCTATACAGTACGTTCCTTGGTACACTTTTAAACGATTTCGTCTATCCCAGTCTCCTCCTTCCTCGATAAGACTACATGGCCAAAAGATTATTATATTCAATGAGGCATATTATTGTTCTCGATAATAAAAGTTACAAATAATTAATTCTCAAACCTCTTAGCTTTGTCAATGTTCCTTGTTATGTGGTCATGGTCCATGTAAAATAAACCAATCCGAATATTATGAAAAACAATGTCCAGTCTATGTCCCAGCGAAACTGTTTTGTCATAAGTCTTTCTGAATGCTGTTATTGCTCCTTCTTTATCTCCGATGCGACAAAGGTGTTCTGACTTTTTAAGATTTGCTTCGCGAACCTCCATTTCTCCTAAATTTTTTTCCGCATCTTCAATTATATCATCAAGTTCTTTCAACTGCTCCTGATTACGTGCCTTCATCTTCGACAAAAGGGACTCGTCTATTGGCCATGACAAATCTCTGCAGACCTCTTCGTAGAATGGTGCCATGTCTATATTTGACAAAACACATAACCATCGTCAGAATCTATTCAGTAACCAACATGCAGTGCCTCAATTACAGTTGCAGGGCATTAAATTGCTACTCTTATTAATAATTAATATAACAAGCAATTGTCTTAGCAGCTAAGGTTACTCTGTCACATAAAAAAATCTATTCTCTTGTTATGAAATAAATTGAATCCTTTTCAGCAAGTCACTATTTAGTTACACTACTAATTAGAGCTATTATTACGACTTTTATTTACTTTCAAAAGAAAAATGCAATTCATCTTACTCTCGGCTTTGATGGCATCAAGAAGCTTCGTCTTCAGAACTGGATCATCCTTGTATTCCGGAAGACTAAGTAAAAACTTAGTCTGAGCAAGTTCAAGATTTGGATTCTTTTCTAATCCCTCTTCTTCCAAATTTTCCAGTGGCATTGTAAGGTTGTCCGCTTCCGAAATAAATTATTGAGAATAAAGGTTAAGACCGAACGACGACAAGGAGTCATGCAGGACTGAAAGTCATTCGTTGTGCCTGTAACCTGGCGTCGCCGCCAGCTGGCTCTGCGTCACCAATTATATTGTCGGGTAACCTCTATAATAAGCGGTTCCGTAACGGTCCAACGGAAAAACCAATCAGAGCAGGACCTGACGACAACCAACCAATGAACGGAGTGTCGCTAGAGGATCACAGCGGAACGGCAAGGCATAGGGGATGCAAAGACGCCGAACAAACTGCTATTGTCCGCTATCAGTCTTGCGTGCATACACGCGAATATTCATGTGCCTATTTTTGCAGACACAGTGTATCAGAAGATGTATAGCGATGAAAAATATTCAGACAGAACGTGTCAGCAGGAAAAATTTCAGGCGCACACAGTTCAAGCTTATCAAAGATAAGAAAAATGTTCGGCGTCATATGCATATGATGTTATACACGTCTACACCTGATTCATCAGCTATCCAAGCACCTAATAGTCATAGAGAATCTAAACGTTGAAGTTAAAGTCGCGACAGTCCTAAGGTTCTAAAAAGCATCATAAAGCACTTACAGACGTCGTTGTAAGCCATCAAGGAATCGTTAGTTATGGAATTAACGCGACTTGGAGTGTCAATTAGGTCTCTTAAGGAGCATGCGGGCATAAGAAGGTGTGACGCGACGGTATATTTACAGTGCAGATGGACAAACGTCTGCTGAACGAGAAACTCAAATAATCTCTGGAATAGCCCAGTGACAGCCCTCGGAATTGATAGCAACAGAAAAATATGAGCGAGACTGCCTGTCTAACAAGAAGAACGGCCTTAAGCCTAACATAGTCCTGATAGATACGCGCACAACACGTACAATCGAGCTATTCGTTACTCAAGTGTACCTGGCCGTTATTTCTATTAAGAGTGTACAATCTATTGACCAAACGAAGAGCCGAATGAACCCCTGATCGATATTGACCAAGAAGATTGATCAGATCGTTCGATCGTTAAGCGGAAGGTCACTGCGTGTAAGGAGACTTATCGATCACTCATTTTATAAATTATGATCGGCAAGTCCTGAATGTCTCAACGAATAATTAACATTTACGACATCTATACTTTATTTCTCAATGAAACCGGAATGGATTTTGGAAAACATTTACTAAGTTGTCGGTTTTCATTAATTTACTTGTTGAGGCCGATGAAACGAAAGAAACATATAGTGTATCGTATGTATATACATATATATACACGCGCGCACGTACACACAGTGCATTAAAATGTATGCCTGCGTGTGCGTGTGCGTGTGCGTCCGCGCGCACGTCGGGGCGTGTGTGTGTTTGTGCGTGTGTGTGTGTGTATATATAATTACATGCGCAGTCGGAGGCACGTGCCAACCGAATAGTGATATACAAACACACAACACACAAAACACACGCATCACTTTACATACGTAGACATTAGTTACTATATCAACGACTTCATCTATACCCTGTGCATCTTCTTCTTAATGTCTCGACACGTACTTATAATGTGATTACTCGATAAACATTATTCGTGTTACGGCTATTCGACACAATATATGTATTTATATTTTATGTATAATGTCAATCGGCTTTTGTCTTTCTTCCTCCCGTCCTTCCTCGTCGCACATAGTCTCTCCTCTCTCTCTCTCTTTTTCTCACCACCCTTTATCCTCTTCCACGCGACTATTTTCTTCCTCCTTTTCTATGTATAATATGTATAATAATGTATAATAATGCCGACATAGCATTTTACAGCGTTAATATAGCGATACAGGATTGATTATGCCATACGTTAATTGATAAACGCAGTAACGTTAAAAATACAAAATATTATAGAATATGATACTGACATAAAGTAACGTAGCATGACAATATTTACGGCATTATCCATGGTCAATAACGATAAATAATAATTACCTTCAAATTCGAAAATGAGCTCGAGTCTCCAAGTATCGCAGGTTCAAGTTCAACAGTTAATAATGTTAGAGTTAATGGCGACAGCGCGGTGGGTTTGTTCTTCACTTTTAAAAAACCTATGAGAATGACGATATGGCGCGGCGACGTCGACACTGACGACGATAATTATTACGATAATGACAATAACAATAATAACAACAGCAACAACAGTGACGATGATTGCAACAATGTTGTAGTTAGAGAGTAAGGAGCGACAAGAATGATAGAAAGAAAAAACATGAGCAAAAACATTAGGGAAAGTCATGTTGATTTTTTTTATATGGAAAAACAGAAGGAAAAACAATTTTCTCTTTGCGATTAACACCGGTGACTGCGTAGCACTTATTCAACAAATGGCAGACCTTATTAACCAATTTTCAACATTACTTTCTTCTTTTACGTTGAGGAACGAGATCGTGTCCTTTCGTAATTAATAATAAAAGAATTGTCTATCAGTCCTATGCATACGGCCGAGTTTTAAACTTCAGATGCTCTTCAGTCATTCGATTCGACCTTTCGTCCCATTGTCATTGTCATTGCCATCGACCTGTTCTGACGACCGTTCGCGAGGTCGATCGGCAAAGAAATCCAGCAGCAGCATCCAACATTTGCGATTCCTTCTTTGCAAATTAATCCGTCGGTCTATATTTTTTCACGGACTAACGATAAGTACAAACGAAGCAGACTGATTTAAGAAATGGCAATAAAAAAGAAAAGACAAGAAAAAAAAGAAACACAACCAGACGGAAATGACATGATTGGGAGGAAGGGAAGGAGAATCGATCTCACAATTGTGAGAATAACACCGCCAAATACATAAATTCCTAGCATGTAAAAATACGTAGAAAAGAGCCTTCCTGCGGGAATCATCCAAACGCATTAATCTTACATTGACTATCATACGCCGTCGTAGGCAAGGTCAAGTGGTGGTCTATGGTGATGATGGTGATGGTGGTGAGGACTTGGAAGGTACGGTGATGTCGGTGTCGGCGTCAAATTTCCCGCGCCGTATCCGGAATAATTAGCGCTCGGTACGTGTATGCCGTTCACTCCAACACCGACGCCAATTCCGATACCGATGCCAATACCACCGTTCCCTGACGTCGTTGGACTTTGACTCGTAGATGCGGCGACCGACATGGACAACGTTCCAACCGACGTGGAAGCTGGTGTCGATGCGGAGACTGCTACGACTCCAGGTCCCGGGCCTGACGACGCTGGTGGCGGTGGTGGCACTCCGTATGGCTCGAAAGAACTCGGATACGAACTGTTGTAAGGATAAGGATTAGCCATGTGCCCCAGGGACGGATGCATCCCCGGAGGAATACCACTCATACTACTCATACCGTTCATACCACTCATACTGCTCATACCAGCGATGCCAGGCATACCACTCATGCTGGCCATACCGGCCATACCGCCCATACCGTAAGTACGTTGCATTAAAGTCGATTCCAAACTACCAAAGAGGTATCCATTCGTCGAAGCCATTGGTACCGGATAATGTGGCCCGGCAATAAGATTTGGATACGAGTTTCCTGGATGCGTATGATTCATACTCGGAGTGTAATTACTCGAAGCGAGATTTTCCACGGTGTATGACTTGCTGTGTTGTTGTTGTTGTTGTTGTTGTTGCTGCTGTTGTTGCTGCTGCTGCTGCTGTTGTTGCTGCTGCTGTTGCTGATGATGATGATGCGCATGATGATGATGATGCTGATGATGCTGCTGCTGTTGGTGTTGAGACTCCGTGTGGATATGATGCCGAGAATTAACACCATAAAGGGAACTATAGCTATCAGCGGGGTTTGTATGATGTAAAGAACCGGGATAAATTGCACCGGCGGTCGACAGAGGTGGGCTATAGTTTGACATGTTGCCGCCCGGAAAACCAGAAAGATAGCTCGACTGATGAGTCTCGAGTTTATCAGCCATCGACTCTTCTGATATGCCGGCGTGAGACATATGTCTTTGGGTGACACTAACGCCAATGCCAACGCCTACACTACCCGGAGTGCCTGCACCTGCTCCACCATCCGCTATACTCGGTATCTGATCAACCAAGGATTCGAGATCGCTGAGACTCTTCGAAGCAACGTCTTGTCCAGAGTTCCTCTTGATGCTGTATTGCTCGTGAGAATCATGAGGCGACATAGAGCTGTGTGTCGGTGTATGAGAATGAGCATGTGGCGAAGTCTGATGTGAATGATTCTCTACTGCGACTTTGGTTGTTGTTTGGTGAGAATGCGCGTTCAACTGAGGATGCGAATGGGAATGGGAATGCCCCAGAGCTTGGGATTCTGGAAGCGTATGAGGATGAGGATGAGGATGGGAATGAGACATCGAATGGGAATGTGTAGTCTCGTTGCTCTGCTGCTCATGGTAGCCCATATAGCTCGCGTAGTTCGCACCGGGACTGTTTTCGCTGGCGGTACCCGTTGTGACACTCGTACCGCCATCTGTTGTCGTACCGTGATTATACCCTCGATGCTCAGCATTCAAATTCTGTTGCGAGATACTCGTTGGAAGTTCGAAGTCAGGATGTTCAACACTGGGCGATGTAAGAGGTGATGGCTCAAGATTGTTCTCCGAAGAAATCGCAGTATTTATTTCGGATGAGAGATCCGAATGCGTAAACGAGAGCGACATAGACTTGGGACTTTGGCTGTAATGTTGAAGGTGAACAGGACTCTGTTTTGCACTGAGGCTGTACGGGCTATCATTTAAGGCCTGCGCAAAAAATCCTGAATCACTGAGAGACTGAGAGTATGGTGCCATATGTGGGAAGGTCTTTGGCGGAGACATCAATGGTGGTGAGAAACAGCTTGGAATATTCTGACTGCCATATCCTTCACTCAACTGGTGATTAATTGACTGTTGTTGCTGTTGCTGTTGCTGATGATGCTGATGATGCTGATGATGTTGATGATTTTGTTGTTGCTGTTGCTGCTGCTGTTCATTTTCACGTGCCTCCCGCTCCTGCTGCTTCTGTTGTTGATGTATTTTTTTGGGACGCCCACGACGTTTCTTTATGACCTCACCATTGGCATCAAGTTTCTCAGGGTCAGGGATCGGCTGTTCATCAGGATTTTTAATCTTCTTGGGGCGACCTCTTTTCTTCTTACCTGGTACAAGTCCTGGCTCCTGTTTCACAATGACTGCGCTACTTATTTCAGTTATTCTATTGTCAGGATCAGAACAAAGTTCATCACTGAAGACAGGCTTCTTGTCTTCGATTACATCCTGCTCTTTCTTTTTTAACTTGGAGTCCGCAAAAACAATGTCTGATTCGTCAAGATGTGATATAGTACCATTAAGATAATCTCTAAACTTCTTCAGAGCTGCATAATATGGCACTTTGTCAGCAGCTCGAGGCAATTGAGCGCATCGTGCACTACTCGATGGCATTACCCACATATACTGCAAGTAAATCAAGAAAAGAAAAGAATATAATTTACAATGATATTGCTAAATTGTCATTGAATAAATTACTCACAGTATTTGTCCCGTCCACAAGATTCGGTTGCCTCCCAAATCCAAATTCCTTTTTTCCAGAGAATACCTCATAAATGAGCTTTCCGTTGAAAACTGCAATTTTTGGTTTATATTTCCTCAATTTTTCCAGTAGTATATGGCTACCTGAAACATAAAAAAATATACAAAATAATCGCAAAATAATGAGAATATTATTAATTTCGAAAAACTTTTAGATTAATGGTATTTTTCGAAATTACCGGTACCGCGAGGATGGCTCTATCCCATACAAATATATTCCGATAAACAAAAACACAATGATGCTTGTAGTATTCGCAATGAATTTTTCAAGGATCTTAAGATGTTCGACACGATGACAAACTTTTCTGTGTACTACTCATGCTAATACAAACGAATCGATTGTTAGTTCTAATGCTATGTTACATTTACACTGTGCAAAATTAAAACGCAAGTTGAACTGTCGGAGTACAATTTCCATGGGGTTAAACAACTGTTCTTCTTCTTTTGAAAAATCTTATGCATAGCTTTGCGATTTGAAATAAATACTAGATATTAACAACTATTGTAGAAGAAAACGGTATAAGTACCTATTAATCAATCAAATGCAACAACATTCGAGTAGCGGTCAACCATTACTCCGACCGAATAACGAGAAAATAAAAATCCTAGGTCGTAAACCCATTGGTCGAAGCATTATAGAGACAATTTCAATAACCTGCAGACGACGCCGCAAACTATGTCTCCGTTAGAGAGTCCTCGCAGCATTGTCGAACGGATCTGTTCAAATGTAATATCAGAATCCTCATTGGGCCAAATTCTTCGCGACGAGGAAACTTTGACCAATGACTAGTTTGGACTTTCCAAGTTTTTCGACTAGTACGAGTAATACGATCGACTTGGGCGGGCACCTTCTTAACTAGCTCAACGAAAAGGGAGGTTTAGTCGGAGTAAGGGCATACAGTTTGCAAATACTGTTAAGTACAATATAAGTAGGTATCTCCGCAAGTTTTTACGAAAACTCCATGCTGTTTTGAGTGGTGAATAAATCTGTGAAAGATCAATGCGAGTTTATCTTTTTCTTTTCATGGCAAGAACTGGTCCTGTATTCCATTTTTTAATAGCCGTGAGGTAAGTAATAACTGCTCTTACGACTACTTTCGTAGATGTAGAAAATTTAGCTTTTTTACGCAGGACGTGCTAAAAATTATAGCATTTTCGGATATAGCTTCACGCATCAGTTCAAGTCAATACTGTCGTACACAGCATTTCGTGATCTGCTCAGTTCGCATCGTCGTAGTTTATTGTTTAAACTTTTGAAAACAAATGAACCAATCAAATGGAAATCAATCACGGTCATTTACTAGTAACTCGCTTGTCACTCCCTCAAGAAATTCCTCACAATCGCAAAGTTTGCAAGGGCGGTAACTCAGCAATGACTGAGTGTGAGTGTGAGAGGTTACGGTCGATCATCTGATTTTGAACTAAATGCATAATTGGACGTTAGTTCTATCAGGGAGCGTACGACGTATGAGCATAACATTTTCCTTCGGTTTAAAATTGTGAACATTTTTGCTTTGGACGGGGTGTGTTCAAATACCTCTACTACAGCGCAATAGCGCTGATAAAAAAGAACGCGACATGCCAGAATTACCTTGAGGTAAGGTATCTAAGAATGTAAATATCGGGGCAAACAGGTTTTGTCATGAGGCATAATCCTCTGAATGGTGCGGTCGCATCTTGTGCATTCGCCGTTGCAAACAAAAGTTAATTACACGGACAGGGAACTTTCAAACTGAAAGTGTTCGATATTTTCAAACGCTACGTACATACCTATACGTATCCTCATGATTTCTCATGTAAATATCAACCTGTTAGGTGGTTGACCATGAATTTTGAATGGAGACATACAACATTAGGGTTTTGGACTGTTTCGCCTGCGCCGTCTCAAAAGTCAAAGTGCCACTGTCTGCAAATGCTACACGTGTATCATATACATCCGTAATATAATTTTTCGTGTAAATTTCAGGTCAATCGGTTGAATGATTCATCTCGAATTTTAGACCGTATTCCCACACACGTCCCCGCTTTGCGATGACGATTGTATATTGTATTATGACAAAGCTTAAAAAGTGTTAATTGTCATGAGACCTTCATTGCAGTCACCGAATGACAATTAAAATCTTTAAAAAATTTTGCACTTACGCAGCTAATACAGACGACGAACGAGAGTATCCATGTTTTGAAATTGATTATGGACGAGGCTAAGTTTAAGGAACTTCTATATAGTAGGACAATCGTTACGGAATGATTAGTGGCAAACAACATGAATATGTATTAATTGTTGCCGATAGAAGAGTGGTCGGACTGTAGTGTTACCAATACGCAGTACATACCTTCCTTAATTTCTTTTCTTGTGAGATCTGCACTTCCTTTGGTGGCACGAGCAACCATGTTCGTAAAGCCAATGCCGAGTCTCAGAAGTTTATAATCGTCATCAGCCGTCAATGGTTCTGGCGTGAGTCCACTCAAGTGTAAACATTTCCCTAAAAGCAATAATTCGACTTAACTCCTTTGTCCAATTACCTCGATTTATAATAATTAATTACTTTATTAACGTCCCCCCTCTCCTCCCTCTCTCTCTCTCTCTCTCTCTCTCTCTCTCTCTTTCACTCTCAGGTATAAAAATCATCTTCCTGGAAATACTCAAACCTTTCGTTTAAGCGCACATTGGTCAAATCTTTGCAAAAAGTTGCAGGCTGCATGCGGAACGCGTCGGGAGTAGCCGACAGGTGAAAATCGATACTACCTGTGACTCGGTAGTCGGCAGTGCTATAAAAGCCGGGAGCCCGCAAAGAAAAATCAATTTTCACTTGCGTTTCAGACGATTTCAATGGCATCTTTTTGGCTCGTTTATCAACAGCAAGTATTTGCCCCTGTTTTCGTTATTCTGTAAGTTGATGATCATTTCGTTTCTTTCTACCCCATCGAATCGCGGGCGCGCGCAGGCACGCGTCTCTCTCTCTCTCTCTCTCTCTCTCTCTCTCTCTCTTTCTGCCTACCTAGTTATGTATCTATACTTGCCCTGTTGAACATTGAACGAGAAACAACGGAATGACGGTTTCTCAATGCAGTAGCGTGAACGCTTGGACTAATTGTAAGAATGATAATTTATCAGCGATTGCTGTCGAAAATATGAAAATAGTCAAACGTAGAGATGGGAAATAGCAGGGTGTAGTGAACGTGCACGGACTGTAAGCTGCTATCGAGCGGATAGGCGTGCGACAACCTCTCCTCCCTCGATCCTCTCAAGCACCCCGACAGCAGTTCCCCTTTGCCCCTTTGCCCCGTTCCCCTCGTTCGCTCCTGCCCCTTTTACCCCCCAACCCCCTCCTCGCTCTCTCTCTCTCTCGCATTCACCCCGCATAGCCTGCACAATCCGCACACCCCCCTTCTCGCCTCTCTTACTCGTGCTACTTTTCCCTCCGTAGCATCGAACAGTCGCCGCTGTTCGTATTCTCGTACGGCTAGGACGTACGGAGAGTTCTAGGGGACTACAGGTTTTCCCACCCACGAACACCACTCATTATAGTTACCAGCCTTCGCTCTCCTGCACACAGCTACGCTATCTCCGTTGCGCCGTCTGCCTTCTCGTATCTCTCTCCAGCTACCTTGAACGTCTCTCCGAGAGCCACCGAACACCTTCGACTCCTTTTGATTCTCCTATTCGGCATGGCACCCACCGTGCCCGAATTCTTTATCGCACACCGACATCTCCTTACTGACAATCTTTCCGATGCTTTGGATGATGATAGATTTAATACATAAAAAATTCAAAATTAATTCATGGACATCGGAAAGTGAAACGTACAATGTCTGGAGCCCACTTAAAGTTTCAATTACAAAATTTTTCAGAAAAATCTGAAAAAAAAATATTTTTAATCGCGAAATTACATAATTCCCAATCCTTGTTGATCGGTCTTATTCGAATCATTTTCAAGTTTGCATATGAATTGTGTTAGAAATTGACATCATGCGGCATCACGAAAAGTTTCGTTGGTCCTTGGGGGGGATGTAGGAACAATTGGGAAGCAGCTGCATGTTACTTATTTTTTAGTCAGATCTCTTTCGCTCGTACTTTTCTTTCAAATTTTGGCTAATACACAAAGCTATCTGTCTATCGGCTACTCTTTCGATTCGGTTAATTCGTACGTTATATATTTACACCTTTGGTTTTCCCTTTTTCTCGTCATTGGGGTATCTCGGCCCTCCCCCACCCAACACCACGATTCCTCCACTCGTTCCCTACCTGTCTCCTTCCACCCTTCCCTACACGGCCTACACCACTCGTTATTACAGTTTCCCCAAATTCGTCTCTCTAACACTATCTCGTCGGGGCACTGTCGATGCCAGCATTAGACACCAGTACACGTAACCTAACCTAACCTAACCTAACCTCGCTCATGTCGTCCCGCTTCCCCCTATCGGGCAACCGATCTTCCCTCCCCGTCTTCGTCCGACCACCTACCATTCGCCCACTTGGCAACCCACCCCCCGTCCGCCTACCCCTCGGACTACCGCAACCCCGGGAAAACCCTGGAAAATCCAGCCGAAACCTAACCTAACACCGCCGACGACATAAAATGCACGAATGGCAACCGTGCGTAAGTAGACGCGTGCGCGTGGAAACGAAAGACGAGTTGCCTCCTGGCTCACCGATACGTTTCTTCCGAGTGGTCAATACGAAGACGTCATTCAAATTTTGGGCAATCACATTTTTTTTCGTCGATCATGCGAAGGAGCACGCGTCAATCGAATCTTCCACATCGTGATCGATTCCCCAGAAGGTTCTACGCGGGCTTTTCAAATTCGTTGAATGCGTGCGATCCCGGTACCGCATCTAGTTACTAAACAAACAGATTTTACCAAAAATTCCAGAAGAACCGCAACTTCGCTAGCTTTTTTTCTGATTATAAGCAATAAGACAGAAGAATCGTCATCTTAAATCGAGATAAACGTCGAACGGCCAGAACGATCAGATTGATTTGCTGGTGCGTGGGCGAGGACCGATGGGGCTTCCTGCCAACCCCTGAGCTTTCGTGCTTTGCGGAGATGGCAATACCGATGTACATCTATCTAACTCTTTCTCGCATCTCGAATCTTCTCTTTTTGTCGGCTGGAATTTGACTTCTTGCTCACCGTTCAAGGTCCACTTAGCAGCCTGGGAAAACGAATAGCAGCGAAGAGCAGAGAGAGAGAGAGAGAGAGAGAGAGAGGGAGAGAGAGCAGCGAGAGTAGAGATAAAAATGGGTGACGGGTCTTAAAAGTCCAAACGAAAAAGCGTAAAGACGAGAGAGCGAGGAGCGATTGATGCGGCGCGTCACTTACAGAAGTGGTTTCCAGGTCCCGCGTAGTGATGCCCTTTGTAAGCGGCAAAGAGTCCAGGATTTATGCCAATCTGAAAGATAGATCGAACGTAAGAGACGGCATTACAGATTAATTTACACTTGGTGAAACGCATGCATCGGCCAACTAGTCTACGAGTCCACAAAGTCTTTTAGTTGAAGTTTAGGGATTAAGAGAGTTGGCAGCCTGGTTGTCAAGAAAAGGAGGCGCCTCATGTTTTTCGAGCCAGGCTCAATTGTATCGAGAGGACGTTATCGAGGGTACGACAGAGTCCTCAGGACCGGCGATGCCGAGAACCGCACAAACTGAACGAACTGAAGGAAATAGACGAGAGTCAAGAACCCGTCTAAAGATAAGCAATTCTTCCTCTTCCAATAGCGTAGTAATTCACGTTAGCAACAGTTAGTTGGCAGCGCGTGCGATACTAAAGGACATCGAGAGTGAGTGCGGATAAACCGGATTTAAAAGAGGGAGAGAGAGTTGCTTCCTTGCTGAGATCAAAAGGAATGTCGCTCTTACGAGTGCGTGCCTACACTCTTACGAATTAATCTGAGAGAATTGAAATTTAACTAAAAAAGTCGAAAAGGTAATGTTGTGATGTACGAATATATGTTATTTGAAATCGATCGTGCTAATCGACACTTACTATGATGATATCAAGATTGCTCGAGAGATGATCCGGAAGTACGCGCTTGCTCACTTCCTCCTCAGGCATTCCGTCGAACCTGTCGTGTTTCTTCCTCTCCTTGTAGGTTTTTGCTCGTTTCTTCGCTTCCGCAAGCTCTGCCCTGATAAAATAAACGTTTGTTCGTAAAGGCCTCTTTCTTTCTCTCTCTCTCTCTCGCATTGGGTAGTAACGAGCGATGCGTCTCGTGCATGCCCCTGATCCTACCACTATTCGGCGACGGGAGGGAAGGAATTAATAGAAATTCAAGAAATTTTCAAACTGCAAAGGGACGTTCTCGAATTTTCGTAAAGTGGCAAATGGCACTTGTCAAGAGTACTTACTCCTCGGGGGTGAGTACCATCTCGCATTTTTTTTTGCGGCCGCGTTTCTTCGGTTGATGCCCAAGTTGAAGATTGTTTGTCACAACGTTGTTTATGGTTGTCAGAGTTGTTTGTTGTTGTTGTTGTTGTTGTTGCTGCTGCTGCTGCTGTTGCTGCTGCGATTGTGAATTATTATTTTGATGGGGCTGTTGATGATGATTATGATGGTGGTGATGCTGCTGCTGCTGCTGCTGCTGCTGATGGTGATGCTGATGTTGATGATGCTGATGATGATGGTGATGATTGGGATGTGAGAGATGATGCTGGGAGGTCGAATGTTGGCCATTTTGTATAACGGAGGTTGTAGATCCGGGTGGCGTTGAACAGGGCGTCATCGAGTGGGCACCGCTGGGGCACGACGTTGGGTTCACGCCGTCTGTACTTACAGTCGGGCTGCTGGTGGCTCTTATGCCTCCAGCAATGGACATCTCTTCGTCTACAAACGAGTAAGGGTCCACCGGTGTTTCGCATTTAATCGTCACCTGCAAATAAATCACAGCGACTCAATCCTTCACCCTTTCATTTCTATTTATAATAGTTCCTCACGTATCGCACTTAGTATTCAGTTAATATTCAGATATTCATGATTTTCATTGCAACGATTAGACTGTTGGCGTAACGATATCTCGATACGCCTGGAAGGGACAAGACACGCGTGTTATAAAAAATTGGAATCTCAGCGACGACACCAGAGAGAGTGCAAAGCTTAAAGAGAACTTGACGGCGCCAGGACGAATAGCAGCTGCAACTGGAGCAATAATCAAAAGAAGGGCAGTGACGTAGGGATCATGTATCCCTATGCATAAGATAATAGCTCAGTGACTCACCTGTCCGAGGGCAGAAGCGGTCGAGCTGGGCTGCTGAGGTTGTTGGGGGGTGGCCGATATCGGGGTGAGAGGAGTGTGGGGAGTGTGAGGTGTGTGTGGGGTGTGTGGGGTCAGGGGCGTGTGGTACTGTTGACTACTGTCGCCGCCTGTACTTCTCATCTCGAGATCTGGACTCGTCTCGTATCCATCGTCTCTAGCCTCCTGTTTCACTAGAACGCCTGAAATACAAAGAAGCCTGTGAGCAAAAGGAGCCGCAATGGCAGCAGCAGCAGCAGCAGCAGCAGCCCGCTGGGGTAGGTTCAATCTCTGGGTTTCCGTGCAGCACGCACTGTCGCCCATCCGCACACTCTCCGCGTCCTGCTAACCCGCCACTTGTGCCAGTCTAAGGTATCGAAATGAAGAATCGAGGACGCGGATGCTGGACAGAGGCGGCACGGATGGGGAGAATAAGAAAAGTGTTTCTCTCTCACCTTGCGTTCCCGAGCAGCTCATGGTTTGGCCGCTCTGCGTGCCATTGTGCACTGGGGACGGGTACGAGCTGAAAGTCGAAAGAAACGTTAGCATTTATCGGCAGAATCCGAACGTTGCTTTGCTATCGCATAAGTTAAATGGAAGTTCAATGGGAGAAATGTCATAAGGCTTGTCATTGCAGGTAACGAGTTGCTGCGAAAGGATCCTCGACGTGTTTTCGTTGGCAGAGAGACAGAGAGAGCGAGCGAGCGAGAGAGAGAGAGAGAGAGAAGCACGATAATGCCCGGCCCTCGGAAGCGTCGCCGTCGTCTGTTCGGACGCTGGAAGGCGTCAGCATCGATCAAGGTAAGAGCAAAAACAAAAGGCGAAAGAGAGATTCTGCTCGACAGCCGATAGTATACTCGTTGTAGAAGTTCGAGGTGCCTCGAGTGACGCATTAAGGGATCCCGGTAAATCCGTGCTGGAAACTCAGGGATCGTTTAAAAACATATCGGGATTCCGTCCTGCACGCGCGCCTACGTACTCTGTCATCCCTATAACTGTCTCTTTCTCTTCTTCTTCTTCTCTTTCGCCTTTTTCCTCTTTGCTTCTAGTCCTGCCTGCTGATCGGAGCGCTGGTCACCGGCGCTCCTGGTCGCTTTAACAGATTTTCCGGCATTTCGTTAAGACGCGACGTCCCGGCGCTTCGAGGAGAAATTCAGCTATTCGCACTTCTCGCCAATTTCAAAGGTGATTATGCATGGCGTCGCGTCTCGTGGTCGGGAAGCGATACAAGAATTGAAAGAAAGCAACTTTTCACGTTCGATAAAACTTCCTCAATTATGTTTGCATCGCCGCGTAGATTCGTTCCTCGTTTTTCCTTCTTCTTCTCCCCTTTAATTTCATCTCCTTCCTTCCTTCCTTCTTATCTGTTGACCCTTTAACCTTCCCGAGGGTGGTCGCTCTCGCAGTCTCAATCAGACCGACTGTCGCTAGGCCGATCGCGAGATCGTGCGTAGGTACCCCTCAGTCCCGATATCATAATTTTTCAACAGAATCGCGATGACGACAGAATCCACGCTGACTCTGCAGCCGCGTCAATGGTGATGCTCGTAATGGCGGTGGGATGCTCGTGATAGTCATCCCGGTCCTTGTGATAGTGATGGTGGTGCTCTCGTTGCTAAGGGATACCTTGAGAAAACTCTACTACAGCAGGGGTCCAGGGATACACGGGCGCGCGCGCGCGCGCACGCAACCTTATACGTTCGCACGATACTGAAGAGGGGTGGGGGTAGGGTGCGCTCTCTCGCACACGTAGAGACGGAGATAAATACAAACGTTGCACGCGCGCGCGCGTGTGCGCGTGCACACTAGAGTCCGTTCAAAATGTCGATACGAAAAAGCAAACGTGCTGGCCGGCCCAGGCACATTTCGCGGAAACTATTTTCTCGCGCGAAATTCAGTTTCTATTCTCTGAAGAAGCTAAAGGGCAAACAGCCGTTCGAAAGAGCGACGAGCGTCAAGAGGAGAGTCGAAGAAATGGTCGGCGACAGGGACTGTCACTGGCAAATCCCCGAAACAATCGCACGTGTGTACATGTAGGTGTACACACCTACCTAGGTGGCTCACTCGAGACAATTCGTCACTCGTAAGTCGTAACGATAGAAATTTGCGAATTTTGAATTTGATCGTGTAAAGTGACGTCAGGCAGCGCTGACGGGTCAGGGGCTCGTGAAACGAAGCGCGAGTCCGTTGGATGGGAGGCGCACGACGTCTTTGAACCCGAGGAAGGAGGTTCCGTTGGTCGCTTCGCTGTCGGGTTTGCATTCGAAGTTGCGCGACACCTCGAGTGTCTCTGTGCCTCTGGCAATTGGCGAGCACGCAGTCTTCCAGGGCGAGCGCGGAGTTCGAGCGGACAAACGAAAGGAAAGCGGGCCGTGCCGAGACTTTGACCGAGTTTTGGCCCCGACCAGACTCGACCAGCCCTCCCTCGATTATCCGAAAGTTCTGCTTCTCTGGCGAGCGTCTCTCCGCCCCCCCCCCCCCCCCCCCCTTAAAA